TTTTTCCAGTAAATACATACAATACTAAACTATGTCGGTTGGTTGGCTGGTTGAATCTGCAGATGTAGAACCACAGAAGTGGAAGGCTGACTATGGGACCTGAGCACATTTGTGCTTTGTTCCTATTCTCTTTCCCTGTTTTGTTCTTATTGCATTTTGCTTTTCACCTTTCCTTTTACCATGTAATATGCTGAGATTTCTAAGTACAGTTATGTTGGGTTCTTTGACTAAAAATCTATTTGCTGAATTTGAAAGTGCTCTGTAGAGTGTGGACTATCTGAACTATAAACAAATAAAGTTATACTAGCATAAAATTCACAGAATTGTCACAATGTGTAACTAGTTTGTAGAAATCCTCTTCCGGAAACTCATGTTCCTTGTTAAACCCAAGAGTAAAAGAAAAAAAAAAAAAGCAGTGCTTTTTTAATCTCTTCTCTTAAGAAAGGCTGCCCATCATAATGATCTTAAGATCATGATTCTTGAACCAGACTGCTTAGGCTGAAATCCTGTCTTTCCACTTACTAACTGTGAGATTGGACCATTACTTAAATTCTACATGTCTTACATTTATCATAAGGAAAATAAGGATAACATATATACCTTTTAGGATGTGTGCAAGAATGGAATGGGTTAACATTTGTAAATTGTTTAGTAAAATGCTATTTAAATATTTGAGAATTAAAATGTTGATAATTATTTGGTGTGTGTGGCATTCTTTAAAAGACAAATTAGGGAAATGTAGTTGTTAAGGAAAACATATTTACCCTAAATACCTTGCACTTCTTTTTGGTTAAAGCTTGCAACAACAAAAAAGTGGCTCAGACTCTCACTGGAATATTAATATATTTGTAATTACTGTAGCATTGCAGCGATGTGCCCTTTTTCATTCTTGACATTAGGTATTTGCTCCTTTATTTTTTCTTTATTTGTCTTATTAGGGGCTTAGAATTTTTGTTTTCAAATATAGGTATATACTTTTCTATTCCACTAATGTCTTCACTTATTTACTTCCTCTTACATTATTTTCTTCCTTTTACATTCTTTGAGCTTAATGTGGTGTTTATTTTTCCAAAATCATGAGATGGAAGCATAGCCTTTCTTTTAAATGATCTATGCCTTGTAGACTATATAGTTTCCTCTAAGTATGCCATTAGCTGTGTCCCAGACATTTTATGTCATTTTAAACCATTATTCAAGTCAAAAATAGTTTCTAGTCTCCATTTTGTTAGGGTTTCTTTGACCTGTGAGTTATGTAAAAATATGTTTCTTCATTTTCAAACGTATGGGGATTTTTCAGTTAATTTTTTTTATTTATTTCTATCTTAATTTGTCTTGGTTAAAAAATATTTTCTGTATGATTTAATCTTATGAAATTTTTGAGACTTGTTATGAACCTGCACATATATGGTCAATTTTTTTAAATGTTCCAGTGTACTTGAATATAATATGTATCTTGAAATTGTCGAGTTTGATATCCTCTGTTTCTTAAATAGATCAAGTTCATTCTGTTTTTTAAATTGCACATATATTCAGTGATTTTTGGCTAGCTTGTTTCATCTCCATCAATTTTGCTTTACACATTTTGAGGCTATGTTTTTGAATGTATAGAAATTTAAAATCGGCATATCTTCCTGGTAACTTGAATGCTTTATGTTATAAAGTACTCCCCTTTTATCACTGTGATGATTAGTTTTATGTCAACTTGCATAGGCTATAGTACCCACTTCTTCAATTAAACACTAATCTAGGTTGCAGTGAAGGTATTTTGTAGGTATGGCTAACATCTATAGTTAGCTTTGAGTAAAGGAGATTAAGCCTAATAACTTGAGTGGGCCTTATCCAATCAGTTGAAAGGTCTTAAGAGCAAAAACATAGGAGAAATTCTGCCTGTGAACTGCAACATGAGATTCTGTCAGAGACTTTCCAGTTTTCTGCCTCTCCCTCTGGATTTCAGACTTCCTAGTGCCCACAATCATATCAAATAAACCCATACCCTGATATGTGTCTATCTATCTATAATCTAGTCATATCTATCTGAAATATCTCCTACTTACTGGTTCTGTTTCTCTGGAGAATCCTGAGTGATACAGTATCTAATGATACTTTTTGCCTTAAAGTCTACACTAAATATTTACATAGCTATGCTACTTATTTTTATTTGTTTTCTGTGACGTATATTTTTATCATTTTACTTTTCAACCTTTCTGCATCCTTATATTTTGGATTTTTATATTTTAAATAACATATAAAAATGATGTTTTTAAAAGCCCAGTCTGACAATCTTTGTAGTTTTAAATTGGAATGCTTAGTCAAGTTACATATGATGTATTTATTGATATACATGATTTTAAATCTACCATTGAACTATTTTCTTTGTGATAGCTCTGTTTAGCATCCATTTTTCTCTTTTTATGTCTTCTCTTGTATTGATTAAGATTTACTTCTTAATCAGTTTTTCCATCTATTGGCTTATTGCTTATAATTGTAACAGCATTTACTTACTGATTACCGTAAAGATTAGAACAAACATCTGTAACTTTTCAAAACCCTTATAAATTAGTTCTCATTTATCATTCCAGAAAATGCAAGAATTTTAATAACATTTATATCTATTCTCATATTCATGCTATTGTTGTGATATATTTAATTCTATCTATCATGTATCTATCTAAATAAATAAATAAAATTTTGCTGGTATTTTTGGCTTCCATATGGATAGGCCAACATCATATTTTTTGTTTTCTCCCTTGGGCCTGATTTCAGCAGTTTTAGCCTCATGAACCATTCATTTTTAAAAATATTTTTATCTTTTATTGAATTATAGTCGGTTTACAATGTTGTACTAATTTCTTCTGTACAGCAAAGTTATTCATTTTTATATATATATATATATATATATATGCACATTTTTTATATTCTTTTCCATTACAGTTTATCATAGGATATTGAATATAGTTCTCTGTGCTACACAGTAGAACCTTGTTGTTTATCCATTCTACATATAAAAGCTTACATCTGCTAATCCCAACCTCCCACTCCATCCCTCCCCCAATCCACTCTCCCTTGGCAACCACAAGTCTGTTCTCTATGTCCATGAGTCTGTTTCTGTTTTGTAGATAGGTTCATTTGTGTCATATTTTAGATTCCACACGTAAGTGATATCATATAGTATTTTTCTTTTTCTTTCTGACTTCACTTAGTATGATAATCTCTAGTTGCATCCATGTTGCCGCAAGTGACATTATTTTGTTCTTTTTTATTGACGAGTAGTATTCCATTATATATGTACCATATCTTCTTTATCCATTCCTCTGTCAATGGACATTTAGGTTGCTTCCATGTCTTGGCTATTGTGAATAGTGCTTCTATGAACATAGGGGTGCATGTATCTTTTTGAATTAGAGTTTTGTCTGGATATATGCCCAGAAGTGGGATTACTGAATCATATGGTAATTCTATGTTTAGTCTTCTGAGGAACCTGCATACTGGTTTCCACAGTAGCTGTACCAACTTACATTCCCACCAACAGTGTAGGAGGATGAGTAATTCATTTTAAAGAAGAGTCGCCATTGTGTTCTCTTGGCTGTGTAATTTTAGTTTCAGTTTTCTCTATCTTTACTGTAAAGGGAACCTATTCTTGGAAAACTACATCTTTAAAAAAAAAAGCCATAATGTAATAAGGAAGAATAGTGTGAAAACCATTCTATAATGTAGTCATTCCAATGTAATGTACTACTGAAATGTATTTTAAGTACTGACAAGCTGGATGACAGCACTGCATTTTCTTTTAATATACTGAACACTAACTCCTTTTTTTCCTTTTGACCGTCATAAGGAACAACATGGCTTCTTCTCTTGCTTCAGCTTCTTGTATGAGATTATAAGATCACATGATGCCTGTAAGTGACCACAGACCTGCAGAAACCCTGAAAATCTTTACCAAATGAAATCTTTTTTTTTTTTTTTTTTTTTTTTTTTTGCGGGCCTCTCACCGCTGCGGCCCCTCCCGGTGCGGAGCACAGGCTCCGGACGCGCAGGCTCAGCGGCCATGGCTCACGGGCCCAGCTGCTCCGCGGCATGTGGGATCTTCCCGGACCGGGGCACGAACCCGTGTCCCCTGCATCGGCAGGGGGACTCTCAACCACTGCGCCACCAGGGAAGCCCCCAAATGCAATCTTAATTGCATTTTGAAAGAACCATTTTCAAGGTGTTTTATCCTTTCTTTCAACTATGAACATATTCCAGAGTCTCCAAATGTGGACTGTTTCTTTATCAGTCCCTTAGAGATCAGATAAAGTAGAGATGCAGGAAAATCTTCCATAAAATGACTCATTAGGAATATGAAGAAGAAAGAACAGTATCATTGTGAATGCACTTAAAAGACTGGGTAAGAAAAATGGAGCTGGGGGTGAAGAGATGCTATGTTTCTAAATTCTTCATGTGCTTGCTTTTTTCTTTCTTTTTTTTTTTTCTATTTCAGAGGCACTGACTCTGGGTACCAGAGATTTTCTTTCATGGCTACTGAAACAAGACACTAATACGTTCAAAGAACCCTGGGGGTTTAAAGAAGGCCAGTAACTCTAATAACTAAATGATGGTTTAGGACGTTAGCCATGATTAAATTCATTATTTTAGTTCAAAGATTCAAAAGTTCCCATAAAATAAAAATATTCTTTCTGGTCACCTATTTTTATGGTTTTTGTTGTTTCAGGCCCTTTCTGATTTCCTTAAGGCAGTAGATGTTCCTAGTAATAAATGTTTGCCAGGAATATAAACTTTCAGTTTCTTCATATGATGAATAGTGAGACTTTTTTAGTTTTATTTTTCATCAGATTACAAGTAAAGAAAGTAGAAAATGAAACTATTCTAAAAGTGGAAGTAATTTCTTGCTGCCTGTGAGGTGAGTTGTGGTCATTGGCTATGGCAACCTCTCTAATAAATAGATGATCTGAAACTACTCAGGAGACTGAGAAGTACCAGAGGAGCAGGCTGTAAGAATGGCACCTGGCAAGTCATCTCCTGTGGAAAATTCTTGGAAGATCTTTGAAGAATACCACATAGATGAAGATGTGGGCTTCGCTCTGCCCAATCCATTGGTAAGAAAGGGCACTGTAATCTGGGCAAAAATATTTTCTTATCATGATTTACCCGGACAAGTTAACTTCTATAGAACAAATGTGGTTCAGTAATTTCTATTGAACAAGTGGATAAAGCATTACCAAAATTGGAGGCAGAGTTTGAAAAAAGGGGTCTCAACTTTCTTAAAATTTTCTACCTAGAAACTTAGCCTTAGAGGCACTTCTTACTTGTCTTACACAGGCACAGACTGTGATGAGTTAAGGAGACTACAGAAGTATTTTGGTTTAAGGCAATTGCATTTCAGAGGGTATTTTGAAAAAAAAAAAGTAATAAATGACCCATGAGTCAAAGAACCCCCTTTGTCAGCTGATATACCTTAGATTGTATAAAGTATGTGTTCCTGCTCTGATAATGTTTTTGAGGTGGGCCACCAAGCAACTTTATGTTGTATTAATATTGCTCGATGTTTACTGAGCCTAAGATTCAGGCTTAGAGAGAATTAGAGCTACATTTTTATTTCCACAAGTTTTGCCTACAAAGGGCAAGGCATTAGAGTGAATGTGTGCCTTAAAACTACATTTTCCTAAGTTATCTTCCCAAGAGTGTCATGAAAAGCATCTTATCATTAATATTGTAATCGTCAAACACCTAACATCACATTTGTTTAGCAAATTTACAAATGTTAACTTACTCCATCTTTACAATCATCCTGAAAGGTATGTATGTTATTAATCTTGTTTTCCTGATGAGAAATGTAGAATGCAGAATTTAAGTAATTATCCAAACTCACACAGCTAGTGATAGCAGAGATAGGATGTGAGCCTACTCAGTCCGGTTCCAGAGTCTGTGATCTTAAAACTGTTATCAATTATGCTACATAGCCTCACTCAAGGGAAGGAGAGATCACAAGGCATTTTTTGTTGGTTTTTTTCCCTACTCTTGGGTTTAACAAGGTACATGAGATTCCAGGAGAGGATTTCTAGGAACCAGTTACATGTTGTGACAATGCTGTATACCAGGATGTCTCTATTTGTTTGTGGCTCAAATGGATGAGTGCACACTGTAAAGGGAACCTTTAAAGGCAGCGTATATATAATTTACTCAGAGATTCCAATCTAACTGTACTTAGAAATCACATCCTGTAACTACCTTGGGTAATTCAGGCAAATCTCAAACAATTTTTTTTTCCCAGTCTAATCTTCCTCTTCGCATAATTAAGTTAATTGAAGAAAGTGAAGTATGTTTTAATTTTTTTACTAAAAGCACTGGTTTACTTTATATTTGCAAATCCATAATATTCAGACTTACTTCCCCTTCATACAAGCACACAAGTGCCATAGTGCCAGGATTGGATGTTTCAAGGATGTATTTATCAATGGTACCAAAAAAAACTTTTTCAGAAACTGCAAAGCCTCATATCAAATTTATTCTTCTTTTTCCTAAAAAGTTGGTTCTTTTGGAAAATAAAAAAATCACAGTAATTATGTAGACCTCTAAAACAGATTCCAAGGGTTAAAGCAAAACCCGAAAACTAAAGCAAAACAAAACTCTTCCTGAGCTACTTAAAAAATAATGTTGCTACTTGAGATGCTTAGGAAGTTAGATTCAATATCCTGAAACAGGATAAAAAAAAAAAAAGAGGTTACTTTTATTTCCTCACTGAAGATCTTTCCTGGAAATTATGTGTTCAAAAATGTCTATTTCATCTCTTATAATCTATCAGCTTCCTATTCTAAAGGAAAATAATATGTCTTCTGATTCCATGTAGATGCAAAATACATTCTCTAATCTAGCAGGAGTTGAATGGCCCTCTGTGTCACTCTTTATTAATTTATATTCTATCATTTAGGCATCCTCTGAACCAGAAGGATATTACTGATTGAATTTTACATGTGTTAAAAGTTCTGTCCAATAAGACACTAATCTTGACACATAATAAAGTATCTCTGTTATTTTGGGGAAATAGCAATAATCAAAAAGTCGGGCATGCTACACAGTGAAATGCACAACAAAGAAAATGTATCTGTATTACTAAAAACACCAGAGCACAGTATTTGTGTGGTTAGGGAGAAAAACTCAGAGCCAACAAGAAAGGTGACTATCTAGTGAATATACTGCCTGGATCTTTCATTCCTAAAAATCTGCCCTGACAGATTAAGTCTGGCCAATTATCTGCAGCCCCTGAACATGTTTGAAGTTTATGTTACATTTGTCTTTGTGTTTTATAGCTTCTTTATAATATTAACTTGGTTTTGAAGCTTAAAGCTTCACTCACCTTGGTTTCACCTTGATGTGTCCTCCATCCCCATAGTATTGGTGCTGCTAAGAGCATGTCTGGAAGCAGCTTAATGAAGAAGGCCTAGAGGAGTTGTTCAGGGATATGAATCTCATTCCAGGGTGGGGCCTAGGCCTTTGGTTTTTATGTTTTCCCTTGAGATGTGATTATAAATATAAGATCCAGGGAGACACGTGTTAAAAAACAAAACCCAACTGAGTAAATTTTAAAGATGTCATTGTCTTCCTTCAGGGAATCATGAATCAGGCAGCGTCCCAACTAGCAGAAAGAAAGGAGGTCTCAGGAGCTGCACAAAAATGAAAGACTCCTCTAGGCAGAAGAGAGCAGGAACACGGAAGTTACACCAGCAAAAAGTGGATTGGGGTGTCAAGGTCATGTTCCTTTAGGGAATGGCAGCAGCCTGTGAGCAGATGACCTCACTACTTGTTGGCCAGGTAATCCTGAATTGACTGGTTTAAGATTCCATTTTGGGAGAGGCAGAAACTGTAGTAAGTATTGTCTTGATTTGGTGACATGGGACTTAAGTTGCTCCATTTGGGGCCTGTTGTCTTGTTTTTAACACCCTTTTATTTGGATTTCACTTTTACTTACTGGGCAAAAAATTAGCCTGTAGTACCAAAGGAAGCAATCAACATGTATATATACAGCACCTCGTACATGTCCAGTACTGTGCTAAGGAAAATAGGATAAAAAGCATGATAAAATCCTTGCCATCAGGTAGTGAGATGTAAAAAGGGCAAGATTTTTTAAAAGCTGGAAACCCTCATGTTTGAATCACAATAAACTGTATGTACAAAACAAGTTACAAAAACTGCCCAACACTTGCTTTTCTTATTTATGACATGGAGATAACAATCAACTTTTGGGGCCATTATTATAACTAAATGAGAAATTACTGAGTAAAACTGCCTAGTTTCCTACTGACATTTAATAAATCTCATTTCTCTTCCATTCAAAAAACCTTAGCTGAAAAGAGAAAAAATAATAGCAGATAGCAATAAATTACTTAATGTGAAAAGGTATAATCCATAGGATTCCTCACTGGAGGTATGAGAATAGAATGGAATAGCCAGGAAGATTTCAGTGAAACTTTTGAAGTGACCTCTGAAAAAGAAGTAGATGAGAGGAAGAAGAAGGGCACAGAGAAGGTCCTGAGCCCTGAGTGTGCAGGTGACAATGCATGGGCTGGTGTCACTCGACAGGTAAGAGAGTGTCAGCATTGCACAGCACTGCGAAAGAGGCAAGACGGACCATCCGCGGAGGCAAAACTATTTTATGATACCTTCCACTAGTAACTCAAAGTCTTATTTCTTCTTTTCAAGGAGGAGCTACCTCACCCTTATGATGCCTGGATTTCCATTGCTAAAAATCTGCCTGAACTGATTAAGAATGGCCAACTACGTGCAGAAGTTGAGAAGGTTTGAAAAAACATGACGTTTTCTGTTTTAGCGTCTTCAAAGTGTTAACTTGGTTTTGCAGCGATCACGACATGCATTTTGAGTTGGGTCAACCTCTCTGTTTATTCTCAGTTAACAACCTTCAGCATTGACGGCCTCCAAGGACACAAGTTGCAGCGCCTTGCACATCTGGTTCTGGGGTATATCACCATGGCGTACGTGTGGGGTGAAGGTGATGGAGACGTCCGGAAGGTTTGGAGATTTTCTCATATTTCTTATGCTAACATGACAGATTTATATCCAGTTTACAGTTAATGTAAAACATTCTAAAAGTATTGTAACTGCATTTTGTGAAGCTTGGGAAATAGAATGAGTACCTTGCACAGAGGAGTTGCCTAACGAATATTTGTGAGATGGATGGATGCATGAGCGAATGGCTGCCAATGGTTCACTGGCCATTAGAAAATCAAGATACATCCTTTGTTTCCTTTCGCCCTCTACTGTTTTGTTCTCTCCATGCCCAGATTATGTCTGCATAGTCACAAATCTAAAACGTAAGGGTTTAACAAGCACTGGGATTAAGTTACGAAATGAGGAAGAGAAAATGACATTTGTTTGGTTTCACAGTGCCCTTAGGTATAACAGTTAATGTTTTGACACCCAGAAAGCAGAAGAAAGGGTGTGACATTTCAAATGTGAACGCTAAATATCGTGTTTTAATTAGGTCTTGCCGAGCAATATTGCTGTTCCTTACTGCAAGGTATCCGAGAAGCTAGGACTGCCCCCTATTCTGGTTTATGCAGATTGTGTCTTGGCAAACTGGAAGAAAAAGGATCCCAGTGGGTATGTAAACAGCGATTATAACAGGAATGAAAGGAGTGCACACTATTTGAATCAAGGGGAGTTAGCCATTGGTTTAATCTTTGGCAGCGGGGCTTTCTTTTCTGCTGTTGGGGTGTAAAATGCATATGCATGTGAGAGAGGTGTCTAATTAGCATACAGTGAAGTGCACACATCTTAAGTGTTCAGTTTGATTAATTTGACTGGCTGGATAGATGGCAATGTCTGGGCTTTCAAAGCAGCCTGCTTGAAACTAAGCACTGAGTGATGGAGCCTGCTGCAATTAAGGGTCAGAGGCTCTCAGTGTGTATCTACAGAGGAGTATTCTAGATGTGGGGATACCACAAAATGAAATTATTTGATCTAGAAAGCTTTCTTATGAGTAACAACTAGTTTTGACTCTCCACGTGTGCTCCTTGCATATTTAATTTTTTATTTCACTTATAAAAGTCCTAAGTTAGGCGTTTGTGATGCCTACTTGATAAATATCAGAAAACATATTTTTTCTATTTTTTATCTATTGTTTTTACCTTTGCTAGATCAGTAGTATTAAATGGAATAACAATAACTCAAAAGCATTTAAGTTTTACACTGGTTTCCTTTCTCTCTTCCAATTGATCCGCTGCTTCATGGCTGTTTTCCTAAGGCCCATGACTTATGAGTGAGTATGCGATCTTTTTTATTCTAAGAATTATTTGTTATTCAAAGTAAACATAGGTGTATCAATACCCTCCAAATGTGTTCTTTTGAAACACCAATTGATTTTAGGCAAAAAGTAATTCAAATAATTGTTGAAAGAGCAAGTAGTTCTGGTCCTTAATAATTATCTATGACTGTGATGAGACTGTATCTGTTTGATATTATAGCTATTAATATATATACTTGCATATGCAGATGACACCCCACTTAAGGATGGTTTGACTTAAGATTTTTTTGACTTTAATATGGTGCAAAAGCAGTACACATTCACCAGAAACCGTCCTTTGAATTTTGATCTTTTCCTGAGGTAGATACGCAGTACATAGTCTCTTGTGATGCTGGGCAATGGTCACGGCTCCCCAGCAGCCCCGCAATCACAGGATAAACAACTGATACAATTACAACCATTCTGCACCCAGACAACCATTCTGTTTTTCACTTTCATTATTCAGTAAATTATGTGAGATATTCCACACTTTATTATCAAATAGGCTTTGTGTTAGATGACTTTGCCCAACTGTAGGCTAATGTAAGTGTGCTGAGCACATTTAAGGTGGGCTAGGCTAAGCTATGATGTTTGGTAGGTTAGGTGTACTAAATGAATTTTCAACTGAAAATATTTTCACCTTAAGATGGGTTTATTGAGATGTAACGCCATCATAAGTTGAGGAAGATCTGTCAATAGATTTAATTAATATGCATATATACAAAATGCACATACACCTATGTATCTATGACTCAATGACTTCAGAGGCCAGAAATATAAATCTAATCTTTTTGACCCAATTCTTACTATTTTGGGCCTGTGTACTGAATAGAGGCTAAGAGCTAAGGAAACAAAAGTCAGTATCATTGGAATAAGCCTGCCCTGATGAACCTGGGCTAATGTGGAGGAAAGAAGATATATGAAAATTATGCAAATTACTATATGATTAAGAGAAGGATTAAGAAAGTAAAGTGCTAAGAGTTCTAACCAAACGAAAGGCATGAGGGAAGAATCCTTATAACAAGTTATTGAAGCTGAGTCCTGAAGAGTGACTAGGCATCAGTTAGAAGAAGGAAAGCCTGAGCATGTTCACAGTGGAGAAAACAGCAAGAGTGAGGGCTTTGAAGTAACACAAATCTTGGTGCATTTCAGAACCGAAGGAAGGCTAGTGTCGCTGACGAATGATGAAGGACGAAAGTAATAGTACAGGAAACGGATGAAAAACTGAAAATATTATGTAGGACTTTTGGCTCTGATATGGGGTTTAAACAGTATCTTAAATGGGAACCTATGGAAGGTTTTCAAATGGGAGAATGATATCAGCAGTCCCATTTGACAGATGAGAACGCTGAGGCTGAAACTGTTGAAATAATCTTATTCAGGCTCACACAGCAAGTGGTCTGGGTTGAGACCATAAATTTAACTGCCATGAAACTCAGATATATACAGATACTGAGACCACGTTTGCATCAATGCAAAACTTCAGTGAAAAAGAAAATAGGGGGTAATCAGTTATTTGAATTTCCCAGTCAATTCCTTTGTTAGGCAGATAAATCACTGAGAAATTGAATCAGGCTCACAGATAAAAATATGGATATGAATACACTTATTTAAGCCAAAATTCTTCTTTTAAAAACCATACCTCACAGATATCTCTATAAACATTGAGCTTATATATATATGTATATGTATGTGTATATATATATATATATATATATATATATATATATATATACAGTAATACACGTGCATGTGAAAAACTGATGGGATAATAGATAAAGAACTAGTCTTAAAGTTTTTAGTTTCAAGTTCTAGAAAGGAATTTCAAGTCTCAGCTTAATCTACTGTTAATTATATGACCTTAGACAATAGACCTAACACTACTACTCCTAACTACATAATGGATATAGTAAAACCTGCCATACTTATCTCACAAGATTATTTTGAAAATGTAGGATAAATAAAAAGACTTGAAAACTAATAAATATTCAACAAATATATCAATATTTTTGTTAAATTCTTTTCTTTTCAGTGTTTTTGTTTTATATTTTTCTAAATTCTTGACTTCCTGGATTACTTTTCTTAGGAACATGGACATCCTATTCTCGTTTCCTGGTGGGGACTGTGGTAAAGGGTTCTTCCTGGTCTCTCTGGTGGTGGAAACAGCGGCGGCTTCTGCAATCAAAGTATGTCAGTCTATCCTGGAAAATGTGTATCTTGATTCACATAAGCAGAGCAATCACTTAGTAGCTGAACTGTATTCTGCATGAAATAACTTTATCCTGATTGAATAGAGCATTTGATGACTGAATTGGAGACAAGGGATCATCTGGAAGAAATAAATATTTTATTTGGTTTTGTGTGTTACCTAAAAGATAAAATGTAGGAGCCATATATTTAGAATAAAATTTGAAACCCCAGGAAGAGAGAAGTATTCTCAATGAAACTTGGCATTGGAACTCTATCACACAGTGACATAAATCTAATGGTTTTGTCCCTCAGAAATAGAAATATATAGAATTATATAAACTTATCTCTAAGTGATAAGTGAATAAAGACAAATCCAAGCTTAATTAAATATATGGAAATTAGTCAAACAATCAGACGGTACTCAGCCCAAGAAAGAAATGGACATATGAAATTTAATTGGGGGATTAAGATTTGGGAGAATTCTATTCTATGCCAATATTTAGTGTTAGGAAATCTTAAGTGTTTGTTTTCTTTTTTTTTTTTTTTTAAAGGTGATCCCCATTATATTTAATGCAATACAACGTGAAGACCCAGACACTTTGCAAAAGGCATTGCTTGATATAGCTTCTTGTCTGCACAAAGCCCTTGAAATGTTTCACCAAATTCATGGCAAGTATTATATGCCTTACAACATGCCAGGCCACAGTCAAATGTTTCTAGTTATCTAAGATGTAGAGAAAACAGAAGCAAAACCAACTCTCACATAGTGGGTGTGTTTGCGCTTTATTTTATCTCACTAAATCATTATACTTTCCATATGGCAGGTTTTATTATGTCCATTTTACATATAAGGGAATCTAAATTTGGAGGGATAAGATAAATGACTCAAGATTACATAAGTAGTAAATAGTGAAGCCAGAATTCCAAGCTAGGGCTATTTACCTCTAAGGAACATCCTTGTCTCTCACTAAGAACTGTGGAGAAACTTACCAAAAGTACAGGATGTTTTAAGTTCTGAAAAACTTAGCTTTTGCTTGATAGGAACCATCTGCGAATTCTGCTTTTTCACAAGCTAACTAAAACAGGAAAAAAAAAAGAAAAATAGAAAAGCCATTGAGCTCAAAAGTTATTGCAAATTAACAGCTAAAAACCAGCAATAACCAAAAGAGTATAGAAACAAGGATTTGCAAAAGGAAATGTGCCCTACTGGGATGCTCCTAACACATATGTGACTGTGTAACACTGGGCTTTGGCAAGAAGATAGACCTTCAAACCAAAGACATTAGCAACCTTTGGGGAGGGACACCCGTTGTCCACAGGGCTCCTGGAGGTTTTGTTTTCAGTTTTCTTTTTGTTTCGGCTTGTTGCTTTCTTTATGTAAGTAATTTATCTGTTGTATCAGATAAAATTATCTGTTGTATTTTATCTGTTGTATCAGTAAACCCATGAAGTAGCCTTAAGTAAATATTGGCAGCTTAATAGGTCTCTGAGGATGAGTGGTGGCGGGCCCAGGCTCTTTGTTACAAGCTGTGTGTTAGCCCCAAGGTAGACCCCGTTCAGTGGACACAGGTGATGAGAATGGGCAAGTGAGGGAGAGCTTGTCCTCAGGGAATTTCTCTGCACAGGCCGACCTAACGCCTTTCTCATATCCTATGCTGAAATCCATGATCACTTTTTTATAACACCTTGATTTTTCCCAATCTATCTGATGCTACTTAATTAAACATATCTCATCTTTTTTTCAGAATATGTGGACCCAAACCTATTTTTCAATGTTCTTCGCATATACTTGTCTGGGTATGTAGCCTTATGCTTGAATCTGTTTTCTCTTAGACAATTAACGTAAAGAAGACAACGTTTCCACTGATGGTCCTACTATCAATCCAGTTTAAGAATCAATTTATATCCTAAAATACACATTGTAAGAAACAACAGACTGTTCTCTGGGTTATTACTTGGCCAGGCATACGCTGGAGTATGGACAGGAAAGCTAGTCATTTTAAAGAGAGTGGAATAACCTTTGGTAGTGCAAACGTAAGGTTTCATGCATAGAATATGTCAGATTTGCTCAGAACCGTATTATTTATTATTCTCATGCATGAACATGAGTAGAAGGGAGAATGTGGAAGAAGTATAATGAAATCTATCTCATTTCACCTTCCATTCATCCTCTATTGCAAGATTTGACATATGAAAATTTGGCAATTCATAAAATAACAATTATTCTTTCCTTCCTGGTTTAGTTGGAAAGGCAACCCTTTGCTGTCAGAGGGTCTGCTGTATGAAGGTGTCTGGGACACCCCAAAGAAGTTTGCCGGAGGCAGTGCAGCCCAAAGCAGCATCTTTCAGTGCTTCGATATTCTGCTGGGCATTCAGCATACTGTTGGTGGAGGTGAGTGGCAAATGACAAATAATCATCATCTCTTATGCTAATAGAAGGGTATCTAAAAAGTACTTTCCCATCAGCACCTTATCTGAGCTTATCTGATGCTTTTAGGAGAACAGTAGGGACTTTATTGCAATCATCCCATTTCACAGATGAAGAAGCAGAAACTTAAAGAGGATAATAGCCAGGCTCCCTGTTAACGAGCTAGAAAGCAGTGAAGCCAGAACTTAGACCAGGTTCAACACTGTCTTGATCTTGACCTTTGAACGTGTCTATGAGGTCTGATTGACTGTGGTGAAGCCAATATCACATGTTCTGAAAATGTAAGACCAGATTCAGAAAAAGAAAGTCTCCTGCAAATGAGATAAGACCATGAGTTGAAACTGGGGAGTGGAGAGGCTTGGCACTGTCTAGTTCCACCGTCCTACTGCCTTGGGGGTCCCGGGGCAATGCCTGCACCAAAGTTTAAAGATGAGCCACACTCATTATATTCCTTCTAGAGGATTAAGGGGGCAGAGGAAGAAGCTCCAGGAAGAACTTCTTTCTACTTTTCTTTGTCTTCCTAAACTTCTATTGAATAGTCAAAGGGGAAAGCTTTGGGCCGCATGATAATACGCTTTTTCCTGAGCTCATTCACTTATTTAAAAATGATCCCTTGGGCTTCCCTGGTGGCGCAGTGGTTAAGAGTTCACCTGCCGATGCAGGGGACACGGATTCGTGCCCCAGTCCGGGAAGATCCCACATGCCGCGGAGCGGCTGGGCCCGTGAGCCATGGCCGCTGAGCGTGCGCGTCCAGAGCCTGTGCTCCGCAATGGGAGAGGCCACAACAGTGAGAGGCCCGCGTACTGGAAAAAAAAAAAAAAAAAAAGATCCCTTATATTCTCTTGGATTCAGCAACATGATCTGTCAGGTATAGTACATATACTCTGTCCTTCTTAGAAGGATCAAATCCAGTAGGAAAGTGAGAAAGGAAGCAAAACAAAAATATTTAAGAGTTTAGTTCATGTGGTTTTCAGAATTAAGTATGTTTTACAATAATTACCTTTACTAGTAGCGAGACTAGTAGGATGCTAACAAGATGGTTGTAAATGCATGGCCGCCCGCTCCGACCTCACTCTGCCCTTCTTCCCTGGATCGGAGAATGCTTTGGCCTTCTTACTAATCCATCTTTGTCTTTAGTTCCTTCAGACTCTGCTGCTAAATTCCTCCAGGAAATGAGAACATATATGCCATCAGCTCACCAGAACTTTCTTCGCTCGTTAGAGTCAGGCCCCTCGGTCCGTAAGTTTGTCCTTTCAAAAGGTGATGCTACCCTGCAGGAAATTTATAATGAATGTGTGCAAGCTATGGTCTCTCTGAGAAACTACCATTTGCAAATAGTAGCTAAGTACATTGTGATTCCTGCAAGCCAGCCATCCAAGAGAAAACAAACCTCGGAAGAGCCTTCAGAACCAAAAAGTAAAGGAACTGGAGGCACCGATATCATGGAGTTTCTAAGAACTGTAAGAAGTACAACTGTGAATTCCCTGTTGAAGGAAGATTAATGTAATCCAAGAAAGTGCTTATATTGCTACCACATGTGGTAATGTCACTTCCCATTATATCAGAAACAGCATTAACATTCATAACTTGAGGAGAGGAAAATAAAACTGATGTCCATTAAAAAAAAAACCCGCACATGGGTGTTTATAGCAGCTTGATTCATAATTGCCAAAACTTGGAAGCATGAAATAAACCAAGGTACCCATCCTTACAGTAGAATATTATTCAGGGCTAAAAAGAAATGAGTGATCAAGCCATGAAAAGACCTGCAGAAACATGACATGCATGTTATTAAGTGAAAGATGTCACTCTGAAAAGGCTACAGACTGTGTGATTCCAACTATGTGACATTCTGGAAAAAGGTAAAACCATGGAGGCAGTAAAAGGATCAGTGATTGCCAGGGGTTAGGGCAGAGGGAGTGATGAACAGGAGAAGCATAGAGAATGTTTAGGGCAGTGAAACTATTCCGTATGATAGTATAATGGTGGATACATGCCATACATTTCCCAAAACCCATAGAATGTACACCACCAGCAGTGAACCTTAATGTAAATTGTGAACTTTGGATGCTCATAATGTGTCAATGTAGGTTTATCAGTTGTAACGAGGGTACCATTCTGGTGTGCAGAGCTGTGCGTGTGTTGGGTAGAAGATACATGGGGACTCTGTACTTTCTGTTCAGTTTTGCTATGGGCTAAAACTGATCTAAAAAAAAAATGTCTGTTAAAAAGAAAACTGCTCTGTGGCCTTCAATAATTCACTTACCTCTCTCGTCTGTTTTCAGACATCTAAAAATAATCAGAGATAAATAGATTTAGATGCTTTGCAGCTATGATTCAATCCTGTATGTGATCTGCAAATTCATCCACAAAAAGAATCAATCGATAGGCTACGTTAATCTATGGAAATTTTAAACAACATGCGTTCAAAAGTAGAATAGCTCTTCTATTTCTTCCAGATCATAAAGACAATGATTTTGATGTAACAAATATTTTATATATCTATAATTTTTAAAAGTTTACAATGCGTTTTCCCTCAATGGCATTTTTTTTCCTGTCTATAACACTGTCGGTAAGTCAGAACAGGAATCATGTTTCTTATTTTTTGCTGGTGGTTTTCTAACGTGGTGGAGGCGCGGTGAATGAGTAAAGGGCAACACCAGGAAAACTTGTCCTTTGAAGAGAGTGTCGTTCGAAGAGTACACATAACAGCCCGCCTAATTCTACAAGGATAGTCAAAGCCTCATGGACCCTGGGAAGATCTCCAATGATGATGCCAAAACAACCACTTCCCACCCGTATCTATTAGAGACCCACTAGTTTAGGCCATTACCCAAACCACCTGAACATAGGGAATTCTCTCTCAACTCTGTCTCTGTCCCCACAGATCTTTTATTCTCTTTCAGTACATGTCGCTTTTCTCTTATGTAGTGATCATGGCTGTGTGTGTGTGTCTTACTTCACCTGCTAATTTGTCAGTTCCCTGTAGAAAAGATCCATGGCTTTCTCATTTTTACGTTACGGCACTTAGCAGTGTACTTAAAATATCATCCGTTAAGAGAAGAAATACATTTGGCCCTTGAACAACTTGGGGGTTAGGGACACCAACCTTCCCCACAGTGAAAAATCCGCATATAACTTTTGATCAGGCCTCTGTACACGTGGTTCCTCAGTATTTGAAATTCGCCTCCTGGGATTCAACCCTAACCCTAACCCTAATCCTGACCCTAACTGCGGAACACAGTAGCACTGCAGTATTTAATATGGAAAAGAGTCCACGTGTGAGTGGACGCATGCAGTCCAAACCCGTGTTGTTCAAGGATCATTCGCAGATAAATACTGCGTTGACTCAAGTATTGTTTCATTAACCGGGTTAGACCTAACCCTGTAAGCACCAGAATCTCTGCTCTAATGACTCATTTGTTCAATAACCGTTTAATAAGCAAACCTAGGATGCTACTTCCTGAGCTAGATAGTAGAAAGATTAAGGGCACCAACCCTACCTTCAAGGAGCCCACTAGTGGAGAAATGGACAAATGGATTGTTTCAACACAATGAAATAAGGGCTATATAAACATAAGCAGACAGTTTAGCAGTATAGAGTCCCCAACCCAGACTAGAGGGCAGCAGAGGGGGTGGGGCTTTCCATGGACAAAGCAGGGAAGGGGAGGGTACTGAAAAGAGTACGTGGTAAGAATAGATTTTCCTAGTTGAGGCAATACATGAGATGAGTTTTAAAGGGTGATTACTGTACAATATGCAAACCAAAGGCCAGAAAATTCCAGGAAGAGGAAGAAGGGTGTTCAAAGGCTAGCAGCTCAACAAGGTCTATTGAGGAAGACACAGAGCTCAATACGGCTGAAGCATTAAAGAATAAAAAGGGCCATGCGATAAAGGAGTTCCAATTTATCCTGAAAACAGAGGGAATGTTTTTAAGCAGAGAAATGACTTTATTATATTCATCTATTTGAATCATATTTAAATGAAGCATTGCCCCTTGTAAAGAAATATGCATTTAAATGACTGGTAGTATTGGGGGAAAAATAGTAGGGGTGGGATAAAATGGGGAGTGATAATGAAGGCAGGGGGATGAGTTTGGAGGTTGTAAAAGGAATCCAAGCCTGCAACGATGGGAAAGTATCATGGGCTTAGATTTGAGGCAAAGAGATCAGTTAAGGATTGGAATATATACTCTACCAATAGTAAATGGTGAGGAATTGAAAGCAATGGCAGTGGCATTGGAGATCATGGAAACATAAGAAATATCATGGCAGTAGGAGTGGCAGGACTGGTGTTCTGTTGGATGCGATAAGGGATGACTTTTAGGCCTCTAACGATCAGCTACGTCAACAGAGTTTACTAGGACCAGCCCATGCTGTCAGGTAGGGTCTTGCGTGCAGGAGGGCCCACACTTGGCTTCATACTCTGCTGTCACTGTCTTGAAATTCTGAATAAGTTTGAACAAGGGTCCTTACATTTTTATTCTTCTCTGCGCCCCACAAATTATATTGCCAGTTCCGAAAGATACCATTCACCAAGACACGGCATCGATGGGGGAGATGAGCTTGGTTCTTATTATCAGAGAATAAGTAATAAGTAAGCCTTGGATTTGTTGCTTGGCAGTGGGCTGTCTGCTCAAGAGCTTGAACTAGTGGCTGGAGGTTTTGTAAGCATTTGCCCTGGTCTTAATGGAAGGTGTCTAGTCTATGACTGATGTGTTAAGGTATTTCTTATGAAGCGTCTACAGAGCAGTTGAGTAAAGATGTCTAGTAGATGATAGGAGAGACCCAACTACAAACAAAATGTTGGGAGTCCTTAGCCTAGAGATGATGGCTAAAGTCTTTGAACAGAGGCAATTACCCAGCGAGAGGGAAGTCAGGACCTGAACTAGGGAGGGCACCAATGGTAAAGTGTAACCAGAACAATGAGAGAGAAAAACCAGAGAAGGGAAGCCATGCCTCTAGTGGTTAAAAGTGATGACTTTCAAGTCAAATGGCTCCAGCCCTGACTCTACCACTTACAAAAAGTATGACCTTGGGCTCTTACTTAACTTTCCCAAGCTGCGGTTTCCTCAGTTGAATGATGGGGATAATAATAGCACCTAACTCACAGGGCTGTTGTGAACGTTAAGTAAGTTGCTCCATGGAAGATGCTTACCATAGGACTTGGCACAGAGGAAAAAAATCAGTGAGTGTTAAGTATCAGTTTTATCTTATTACTTTTAAGTATAGTGCAACCAGAAGGAATACGTGTCATAGGAAAGGTCAAAAAGAGAAGAGAGTTAAAAAAAAAAAAGCAAAATGCCAGATGCTTGAACAATTAGAAAGGACTAGAAATTCCCATTGAATTTATGAACAAAGGTATAATTAATGAGCTGTACCAGATTAACCTCAGTGTACCAGTGCTGTCTGGGCTGATTGCTTTTGACAATTCAGATTTGGGACTTTATCAATTTGAAACTAAAGCTGAGTATATCTGAAATCACACACAGAAAAATTTCCATTGTGAATGTTTTTCTTTCTTTTTTGAATATTTCTTGGTACATTTCCAAAAGGCCCTAATGCCTTTTAAGAGATGGGGAACCTTCGTTGTGTACTGAAACTACAATAATTCATGGGAAAGCTGATTATAGAACCCAGGACTCTGAAATGACCAACCTTACTATTAGGAGAGGAAGTTCTTGGGCACAATTATGTTTAACCAACTTCCTCTTGGTAAATAAGAAAGATGCCAAGCAAAGCTTCATGAGGCCACTGTGTTCCCTACTTCAGAATATGTCTCTGGGACTAGGGTTACAATGGTGTAACAGAGAACAGCACAAACTTCTACCTGGCATCAAGACACCAAATCTAAAAATGAGATGCTGAGAGACATCATTCATTTGACCGACATTTATTGAACTTCAGACACTGAACTTGTCGATAAAGGAAAATACAAAGTTGTGTTAAATATGGGTTCGTCAAGGAACTTACAATCTAATAGAAAAGATTAGAGGGGCTTCCCTGGTTGCGCAGTGGTTAAGAATCTGCCTGCCAATGCAGGGGACATGGGTTTGAGCCCTGGTCCGGGGAGATCCCACATGCCACGGAGCAACTAAGCCCATGCACCACAACTACTGAGCCTGCGCTCTAGAGCCCGCGAGCTACAACTACTGAGCCCGCGTGCCACAACTACTGAAGCCTGTGCTCCTAGAGCCCGTGTTCCGCAGCAAGAGAAGCCACCGCGATGAGAAGCCCGCGCACCGCAACGAAGAGCAGGCCCCGCTCCGCCGCAACTAGAGAAAAGCCCGCGTGCAACAAAGACCCAACGCAGTCAAAAATCAATTAATCAATAAATTTATATAAAAAAAGAAAAGATTAGATAAATACAATGTGTGAGTGTTAGTAACAGTCAACTAGGTAGAACTTGAAACACGATGGAAAACAGATTCAAGGTGATAGAAGAATTTTGCACAGCTAGAGGGTGTTTAGAGGTCAGGAGATGGACATCCTTGAATGTCAGGGCAAGGAAATTTGAACTTTATTTAATTTACAGGGAGGAGTTCTTAATGATTTTGTGGCAGAATCTGAGATGTTCACTGACCCACAAGTTCCATGGACCTAGACCTTGGAAGTAAGAAAAGTCAAGGCTGAATATGCAGGCTTGGGTACCTGAGCATAGAATTGATGGCTAAGATCAGGTGGAAATGCATAAGAATACTGAGGTGGGGAAATGGTTATAATAATGCTGCAAATATCTATACATTTAGGTCTGAAGTAGGGAAAGAAGTCAGCTACTGAAACAGAAAAGATATATTCAGAATGATAGGGAAGGATATCAGAAAAAATAAGATATTAAAAATGTATTTCCAGAATGAGGGGAAAAGAACATGAGAAAAACAGTATTTACTGTTACCCATTTGATAAGTGCTTTACTTAATGTTCCTCATTTATTCACTGGGATAAACATTACTATTTCCCGTAGATGTGGAAACAGAAGCTTAGAATTTTAAGCCACTTGTTTAAAAAGCCACATAGCTAACAGGAGACGGAGTAGAAATTCACACTCGGGTAGGCCAAGCTGAGTGGGCTGAGTAGAAAGTTCTGGGCTGAGAAGTCCAAATTCTAGTCCAGTTCTGATGGTAACACCCAGGGTGACATTTGGTAAGTCATTTCACTCCAATAAACCTCAGGTTTTTCATATTTACTGAGGGTATTGAACTAGACCACTTATTCTGTCATGCTCTTTTTAGTTTTGGTATTTTGATGCCACACTCTTATAATGTTACAGTAAATCCCTAAGAGGCTGCATAGGGAATGGATGAAAAATAACAGGACTAGCATAAACAAAGATAACTGTGCCTTCTTTTCACCTGAGATTGAAGGAAAAAACAAGAAGATGATTCAACAAATTAAGTTTGACAAACTGCCTTTAGGAGGCATAAGAAACTAATCTTCAAAACTGGTTGGGTACTGGGCTAAGAGGAAGTGGTTAATTGAGGATGGCTCTTAGGGTCTAATGAACCATAAATCAATTAGGTTACTTTTGACATCCTACCTTCAAAGTTGAACGCTCCATGGGAACAGTTCCAGGAGTTATCAGAGCACTTCCTGCTTTAGCTTTTATACTTATCTTAGAGAAAGGGAGGGAGGAGAAGATGTGTATAGACAAATCAGCTTCCAAATAAATTTGACGACAACCTGACGACCTAAGTTCAGGGTCCAACTGGGCAAAAGGTAGAGTCTTCGGAATTTTCACGGTGCAGATTTATGGCCTGGAACTTATCAATGAGTTCCATACTGATGTGAACTCAAACCACGATGGCGCCTTTGACAGACAGCCTGGCAGCCTGATCGAGTGAACTAAAGGAATGGCTTGGAGGTCAAGCTACCTCAGCTCTAGTACATAATTAGTGGAGTGACAGTGGACAGGATTATTCACGTGCGTATGCCTCAGCGTACTAATCTGTGCCTGGTTCATAGGTAAAGTCTTCCGTCGTAGTGGTCGGTTCTCAAAAGACGTTTAATAAAAGTAGAAGGTTAAATCAAATGATCTGTTAGGCTTTTCTCAAATTCATTAGTATCTGCTATACCTCATTTGTTAAACTTCACAAAAGTATATATTCTCCTTTAATGTCATGGAAGGTTTCAAAAACAATAATATTTCTTAATTAATTAATTTAAATATTAATTTAATTAAAATTAAAAGCAATAATAATCTTTACAATACACTGTTCAAATACGTGCAGAACACTTCTGAGGGTCTGATGTGCGTTTAGAGTCCTCATTCCCACTCTACCCATGGCCAATCCACCGAAATATCTGAATGTAACTAACTTCTAGTTTAAATAGTTTACACCTTTGAAATAAAGACCCAGTTGTCAAAGTTTATCATGGACCAGGTTCCCGTCGGGGTGTTTGGGATCATCCACAGCCAAAACATTTCCCATTTCCTAAAATAGAACAGATTTGTCTCTGGGTTTAAAATCAATCTTCTTATATTCACATATATGAAAAGAAAGGAGTTTCTCCCCCTCCCGAGGTGATCTTGTTTGCCTGTTTGTTTTAATCAGCAGTCTTTAATAATTTACTCAGCCTTATGTCAGAGAAAGTCTATGGCAGTGTGGAATTCAACCTGAGAGCAAGGTTCTCCCCTGTTCCCGAGACAACTGTACAGCTTACTGCGAGGAAGAGATGCTGTTTTGAAGCTCCCTTACCCCGGGTCTTTGATGTATTTGGAGCAGTTGTCTCTTTAGCAGCAGCCTCTGCGCAGATACTTCAAACAAAATTATGGAGCCTCAAAGTCAGAATTTGAAGACAGCACCATCTTTGACTTTAGGAAGATTTCATATTTCTGAAGATTATGGCTTTCTTCTTCCAAATCCTCTGGTAAGGATAGGGTCTTAAAGCAGGTCAGTATAGGTTTCTTGAGATGCTGACTTGGGTGTTTGTTTGTTTAATTGATGTGGTCATTAAGAGAGATGCAATATAAATGCCAAGCCATTGATTTGGGACAGATAATTCAAATAAGGTACAGTGTGATTACTAACAAAGGAGAAGTGACCGCCACAGCAGGGGATAGAGCAAATGGAATGTTTTAATGTCAGTTTTTTTTTTAATGGATTGTCAATCATTCCAGCAAATTCATGAGCAAATGTGAAGTTATCAAAAAAAAAAAAAGAGAGAGAGAGAGAGATAAAGAGAGAGAATTTAGATAAAGATCAATTAAATGAGTAAATCAGTTTATCTTGACTTGCTAGTGGGAGAGAAAAGAGAACACAAGGGACCCTGGCTGTGTTCGAGTTTCGTAGGAGGGATTAGATATTCACAGAAATTGCTGAGAAGAGGAAAGAACCTTCAAGGACAAACAGTACCTATTTCTTTTTATTTTTTAATTTATTAATTTATTTTTGGCTGCCTTGGGTCTTCGTTTAGGTGCGCGGGCTTCTCATTGCGGTGGCTTCTCTTGTTGCGGAGCACAGGCTCTAGGTGCGTGGGCTTCAGTAGCTGTGGCGCACAGGCTCAGTAGTTGTGGTGCATGGGCTTAGTTGCTCCATGGCATGTGGGATCTTCCTGGACCAGGGCTCAAACCCGTGTCCCCTGTGTTGGCAGGCGGCTTCTTAACCATTGCGCCACCAGGGAAGCCCCAGTACCTCTTTCTTCATTGTTCTTAAAGCTCAACCTGTAATGCAATTCCTTTTCAACACTTTAATGGTCAGGTCTAAAACGTCAAAACTGCAAGAGTCCTTAGAAACCATAGCTGAAGGCCAAAGGTTCTTGCCCAAAGTTATATTACTGGAAAAAGCAGAAGTAGTACTCAGGACCCTTGACGTCTTTTTTCTACTACATTCTAAATAAGGGCCAAGCCTACTCAGCTAAGGATCTAGGGATCCAAAGTTACAATCACTGCAACCGTTTATTAGATCCAGTTTTTCCTTCTAGGGGTCTAATAGGGGGTTTAACTGTGATGAATGATCTGGCATTTAAGGAGCTTTTATGGAATACCTTCTTCTGAGTGTGAATAGAAGAATTAAAACGAAGATAGGATCTATCTGCTGATCCCCAAAGCCCTCTGTAGAGCTGCTGGTTATGAGACCAAGTCACAGATCTGCAAGTAACTTGAGCATTAAAAGTAATGACTCTAGGGTGTTATGCAGAGGAGGGTTGTGGCCCAGAACACTGGGCTGTGTTCTCTGACCCTGCCACTAGGGTGATCAAGAATGTCCATTTGCTACAGGCCGAAGGGGATTCCAAGATGCAGGACTTTCCATGGTAAACCAGGGAAGTCCTGGGCAAAACAGAATTATTTAGTCACCCTAAGTTTCACTTACTAACTCTTGTGACCTAGAATGAACCACCAGCATTGCCTGACCCTCAGTTTTCACATGTACTTGGAGAGATTTAGTGCCCCCCCCCCGCCACTGGATTGCTATGGAGTATGAAAGCACTTCCATAAATCCAGTGGAAGGATAGAAGCTAGTTTGCACAACCCTCAGTCCAGTGCTTATTCAAAATTCCATTCTGTGTGTATAACTTGATTCAGGAATATTTCCATCATCCCTAGTTCACAAGGAAGAGTCTGTCAACAGGCCAACACTCTCTTATTGGGATTAAATATATACACTGAGCTGAGAAAAATAATATTTAAAAGTTTGTAAACATTGGATAGGGCCACCATGATTGTGTTCCTTTCTTTGCTGTTTCCTTTCTTATACATAAGAAAACCAGACGGGAAACAAGAGGAACATCAAGTGTTTGTGACTTTCTGAGAAAACACAGGACTCTATCTGCCCTGTAGTTTGGTTGATGGATACTCCTTAGAAGAAATTTCCATTCTGGAGCTCAGAATTTCCTGGCAAACTGGGCCTACTCTCACAGTCATGTGTCAGGGTTCTAAAGAATGCGATTCTTTGTTTCAGTTTTAATTTTCTCTCACTTGTGGAAGAATTTTAAACATCTCCCTTTCTGGGAAGAGGAAAGGGAAGAGAGTTTACACCAGAATCTGCCTCAGCTTACTCAACTGATCAGGAGAGAATCTATCACCCAGTGGTGTCGCAATAGATCACAAATTGTGAAATATGAGCCGCCGACTTTGCTAAGGGCATGAGTAGGATTTGTTTGCCTTTAGGTAAGTGATGGGCCGGCTATTCCTTCATGTCAATGAGCCCAAACATACTCTTTTAGCAAGATTGGTTGTTTACCATAAATACTTAAAGCATGTGAGTGTCATCATGTACCACAGGTAGTAAATATTTTGTTATATTTCAATGATTTTATGGATATTGGACCAATCTGTATGCTATTTCTAATAGCATTTTTATGACTAAAGCTAACAAATATCGGAAACGGTTCTGATTTTTAATAATAACAAAAAAGAAAAGAAAACACAGTCAAACTAATGAATAAGCAATCATTCTGGCTTTGGGGGAAGGGTCTGACTTGGTTTCAAGTACTCCATCCCACTGTTTCTATAAACTCTCAAACACCTCCAGGGTCTAATGTTTCAGTGAGGAAAATGTATACCTTTCAGACCTATGTCCATAAGGAAGCCACAGAAATCCCTTGCCAGATCGTGTGTCTGTTGTGTACGTGTGTTTGGGTTGGTGCGTGGGTGAGGAGTAATTTTTCTTTAGACATAAAGAATGTGAGGAAATTTGCTTGGCAGGAAGGGAGGAACCAAGAGAGTTTATAGCAGGAGATTAGATTGGAGTGAGATCAAGGGAACTCAAACGTTAGGCTCAGGAATTTGGATTTCATGCGTCTGGTAAGCAACAGTGCCCTGGTGTGTGAATATATTCCTAGCAGAAGGTTAAGGGCAGGGTGGGTTCCAGCAATGGTTCCTGAACTACATATCAAAATTGGCTGGGAAGCTTAAAAATTACTGATGCCAGAACCCCAGCCAGGAGTTAATTCAGAACCTCTAGCCTAACTAGCTTGGTACTTGAAAACGACAGAATACGTCAAGGACAGTGAAGGTCCAGGTGAGGGCTGAGGGGCTACACGTAGGAGGTTGTTTGTGGGAAGAAAGGTGTCATAACTATGAGAAACAGTGAGAAGAGCTTGGAAGTAGTTTAACTACAAAAACAAGGGAAAGGGAAAAACAAAACAAAGACAAATTGTAAGGGTGCCATGGAGCAGAAGAAAAGGAATCGGGATGCTGGGAACCTTGTTCTGTATAGCGGCCAAGCAACGATTTAGGAAAAATAAAGTCATATATAATCTCCTGTAGTAATTCAAAGCACTTGAGAGAAGCAATGGTTTTAATTCAGATTTTCAAGGTATTAGCAAAATTTATTGATAGCATTCTCCTATATTTCATTAAGAATGGAGTTTTTCTTATTTCCTATGGTAACCTTCTTATAATATATAATAAGAGTAGTACTTATTATTTAATAGGTGCTCACTTTGTACTAGGCCTTGTGTTAACTGCACATTTCCCATTTGAGTCTCACAGTGATCTTCACTATTCTCAAATGACTCATGTGATAATTAAGGAGTTCAGCCCTGTCTCTGAAAACTGTCTTTTAGCTGCCCACCTTTCTCTTTTCCACCCTAGTCCAGTCCACCACTATTTCTCCCTGGACTATTGCCTTGTAACCCGTCTTCTTATTTCCCCTCTTGCCATAGTACAGTCTCCGCATGGCAGTCAGAGTGACCCTTTAAAACAAAAATCAAATCACATCACTCCGCTCTTTGGAACAAAATCCTAGGTTTTAGTGTAGCCTCCAAGGCCCTCTCATGCTGCTTACCCGTCTCTTCAAAGTCATCTAATATCTTTCTCCTCTTTAGTTTGCAGCAATGACACACCAGCCTCCTTCCATTGAAACTTGTCTTTTATTTCACTTAAAACCCTCTCCTTCACATTCTACTCTGTCCCATAGTTTACATTCTAATTTTTATGATCATAATATTGTCACCCAACTTCCTTTGTTGACGTTCGCCGGCTTTAATTTCACTTAAACTTTCATTTTTTAAACTTTCTGTGCTATTTTCTTAACCAGAAGCTGGTTTCATTAACTTAATCCGTGCTAATACAGTTTATTGTTTCTATAAAATACATTATTTTTTTAAAAGTGTGTTCTTTTCTAGATTATAAATGTGTTGAGAAGAATAATCCAAAACAGAGCAAAAGGAGGGCTGAGTTTTATTTAGTACCATCCGGAGCCCTGTCTAACTAAACAGTCTCACCTTAAGATTACTGAATTACCTAAGGGATGCTCCTTTCTCGACATGCCGCTTACTATTGATTCGGACCGAATCTCTGAAGCTGCACGTTACCTTGCAGACTTTTGTTCAAAAGAGCTGCCAGTGATTTCCGCCGAGTAGAAAATAAAACCCTAAAGCTTGTGATTGTTCTGCCATATAGGACATTAACCAATTACTGTGTCTTTACCTTAGCAATTTAATTTTAACATTCTTCTTTTCAAAACTCTAAACACTTCAGTTTATCAAGTGCTTTTGAATCAACTGGACCATCCTGCTGAGTTCCTCATGAATAAACTAAATATATTTTGGACACACGTTCCATATTTGCATGAGTCATTTTTTTTTAACTTTTTGAAAATTGTACCTTGACAGATACAAAAGTGCAGAAAAAGAATAACATAAAATAGGAAACTGAAAAAATAGAAAAGAAGGTCATAGATTTTATTATTTGTGTCCATCCCACTTCTGGGTCTTCTGATTATTGGAATGAGGGGAAGAAAAACATGTAAAGTTTCTTTCGATTTCTTGTCCCCTTGTACTAACCACCTCCGCAGTCACCATTCTCCATGTGTTTACTCTCAGGAGGTACTGGAAAGTACACTGAACTCTGAGTCAGAAGAGGTTTGACCTGACCACCGACCAGATGTGTAAACTCGGGAAAGTTATAAAACTTCTCTGGCTTG